CGCGATATAATAATTACATAATGAGAATTAGTTAGTGACACACAATAAAATAAGTATTTTCCTACATTTTTTTGGCTCTGGGGCCACCAATGTATGGACGTTGAGCAATGTCCTTTAGCTCGCAACTGTAAAACTGCCCCGGAGCTGATAACGATGAGGTAGATACACAAATATTCTATTTTTTCACATGATAACGATTCAGAAGTTTTTTTTTTTTCTTTAATAAATGATAGCAACTTTTTTTAGGAATTTTAATTTGATATAATTACGTACAACTGACTAGGTTTTCTGTGATAATGTCATAGATAAACGGAATATGTCATTCTAGATAAGAAACTCATTAAAATGTTTAACAGCTTTTAAAGGAACCACATGGTCCAGGTACAATCGAAAAAGAACCTGGAAAAATATACAAGCATTTAAAATAGAGCGATAATTCATTCAGGAAACTCGATGGCGCAGTGATTAGCACGCTGATCTGTGATACGGTTGTTAAACAACATCGGCAATGACGTGTCATAGGATAGGTGACCAAACAAAATTATCTCGAGCTCCTCCGTGCTTCGGAAGGCACGTTAAACCGTTGGTCCTGGTTGCATCAGCATTCGTTAATACGCACCAATTGGCACTGGCCCCGCATGGTGGGTCATGGCCCATTCTCGCTATTCGATTTGAAACGATTCCATCCATAGAGAAGGCCCCAGTACCAAGAGTTGGCTAGTCGTGATGATGAAAATAAGTCATTCAAGAAAATAATTTAAAATAAAAATTATTTAAATATAAAACAACTCTTATATACAGTGTTATTAATAAAAAAAGGTTTAGCGTTGGCGTTAATTTACGCTATGACTACACTTAGTAAGTATTAGTTTAAATTTATATTATTAAACAGAGACTTAGCAAATGTTAACCTAAAGTCCTGCGGGAGTAATTTTTAATCCTAGAAGGTTAAGTTTTCTTATTCTCTGTTTAATATGTACTAATAATAAAATTGTAATTTTAGTTTAAATTTACGCTGACGCTAAACCTTATTTATTAATAGCACTGTTAAAGATTTGAGATTAGAGCAATAAACTAATCTTTACTAAGTATTTACAGTTATATATAAAATTAAATGTATTCATTGGAACTTATGAAATATACTATCAAGTTGAATTCTTCGCGCTTGTTTTTACTTAGATAGTACACTAAAGTCACTCATTTTAAAATAGCATCTTGATCTGAAAGAAGTCAAGATGTGTAACTTTTAGAAAAATAACCATACTTAGATATTTACATTTTTAAAACTTATGAATGTATTCTTCATTTGTACAAAAATATTTGAGATTCAAAAATATAAAACACCGCCCAAGTGAAAGTCGGAATCGCGCAGGAATGAAACCTATGTTACCTATTATTAAGAGACAATATGTCGGACCTCGCTGATGATTATAATAAAACACCAAGTGCATTATATCAAGCTGTTTAATTTATGCCACCACCACGCGTGTTATGTGAGGTACGACACTAAAAAATAAAAATATAATATTAAGTATAAACGTCCTCAAACTATGGAGGGAATATGTGCCACCACGTGTTAAGTTTTGAACGTGCGTGCACGTACGTGTTAATTATAGTACATTTTACAAGGTTTATTACATTTTTATCGGTTTCTTGTCAGTGACAATTATTTAAAAAAAATAAAGTAATTAAAAATAAAAGAAGTAGGTAAAGAAAATCTTTTGTGTTTTATTCGACACGAACAAGGTCTACAGGAATAATTGTGTCATCTGAAAACTCGGCAGGCGCATCTATTTGCTCTCGATGCCTGGCCCAAGACAAAAAATATACTATGCTGGTTAGTGTAGTTTTTTTTTATTTGTTTATTTTATACACTTAATACTTCACAAAAATTGTTTTATTTAAGAATTAATATATTTTTTTTGTACATTTTATTCCTATGGTTTAAAGAAAAGTAACTATTTGTAATGAAATGTGGGTTAATACTTAACAATTTAAAACTAAATTGTTTTTTGTATGATAACTTTAGTTAACCGGGTCAAATTTCGCCGCATGACCTTACTCCAGATTCCATGACTGCTTACGAATACTAGGTACAAAATCAAGTTCCTAAGTTTGAAATAAGTAATTTAACTTGCCTTTGACCTTATCTCTCCTCTTAAGAAGTATAAACAGAATCTTTACGTGGACCCATCGCAACTTTCAACCTTCAAGGCAATTCTAAATGGAAAAACTTTTGGCGAGGTGATGTTAGAAAACAGGCTGTAAGATATCTTTTTATGATTAGTCCTTGATACAAACTTTAAATTGAAATATCTATCATCATTCTCAGACTGTTTATGTCTCCTATAACTGGGCACAGGCCTTTCCTAGCGATGGAATCAAATGAATTAACTTAGGGAGAATGAGCCATGACATCATGGCAACCCAGTGCACATTACTAGCTGTAAACGACTCCAGATGCAGCCAGTCGGAAACAACAGCTTAACGTGCATGAAAGAACTCAAGGTAATATTTTTTGGTCACCTATCCTATGGCCAGTTTTTGTGAACGTTAGCAAATTGAACGGTAAAAATTCCTGATAGAAGACGCTTAGTTGACGTTAGTGTTTGAGGTAATTTTCTGTCAATAATGGTCAAGAGAAGAACAAGCTGATTTAGTAACTATATGGTAAAACAGCATACATTCTTCATTACTATAAGCGGTCAGTTTAACCTTAATATACTTGACCACATAAATGGTATTCTCGTGCGTTACTGACCCGTCACTGGCCTTGACACAATTTCGTGACCCTTTTGACATCTTGTAAATCACTCTTGGTAAAGTAGCTCGGTGGCGTAGAGGATAAGCGCCGCGGCCCGCGACAACTTTCGCAAGGGTCAGTCTCGGGATGGGTGAACAAAAAAATATTATCTCGAGCTACTTCGTGCTTCGGAAGGCACGTTAAGCCGTTGGTCCCGGCTGCATTTGCAGTCGTTAATACCCTCCAATCTGCATTGGGCCAGCGTGGAGGGTCATGGAACATCCTCCTTAACCATCCATAAGGAAGGCCTGAGCCGATGCAGTAGGGACGTAAAAAGGGCTGATGATGATGAAATCACTCACATTACCTAGTTGGACAGCCACAATGGAATAGTAATATCCATGGTAATATCAAACCACCGTTTTGTGAAAATAAAGAATTAATAAGTACATTGTCAGAAAGTGCCCTTGCAAGATATATATTTTTTTTAGTTGATCTTTTGCTAAAGTAGTACATTGGTTTAATGTAAATAATCTCCTTAATGAAGGAAAAACAAAATGCTTAAAATTTGTACTACCTAATGTTAAAAAAGTAGATATTTTAGTAATATTAGATTCCAAACTACAGTGGGGCCCACATATTGATAAATTGTCGAGTAGACTTAGCTCTGCAGCATATGCCGTAATGAAAATACGTAGGTTAACTGACATAGATACTGCCAGATTTGTATACTTCAGTTACTTTCATAGTGGAATGTCGTAGGTACGGAATCCTATTGTGGGAAAATGCTGCCGACATACAAACAATTTTTATGCTTCAGAAAAGAGCAATTCGATCAATTTATAATCTTAGGATTAGGGACTCTTTAAGGGAGAAATTTAAGGAAATAGACATTATGACTGTTGCTTGTCAATACATATACGAGAACTTTATGTACGTTCGTAAAAATATTAGTTTGTTTTCTATAAAAAGTGATGTACACAATTTTAATAAAAGAAATAAAAATAAATTAACGGTGCCTGTCACTAGATTGCAAAAAGTTAATACTTAACTCATTCAAGGGTCTTGTGTGCGCTTCTACATAAGATATCATGTAGTTTAAATCTACTATTAAAAAAATACTTATTAAAAATGCTTATTATAAGGTATCCGATTATATAACAGATAAGAACGCTTGGATTTGAGATGATCCAGCAACTGGATAGGTGATTACTTCTAAACTCATTATCTTGTTTCCATTATTATTAAAAGATTATGTTATCATTATAAAACCATAGTTTTTTTTTCTATCTCTGTTTATAATGTATTGATCTGGTAATGACATGGTTTTTGTAAATGTCATTACTCTTATTAGAGCTGGTGAGTATCTTGCTCGTTCTTCTTATCAGCCAAAAGACATCCTGAACGAGTGATAGGGAAAAAAATGTTGGACGATTCAAAAGTACTTTTAAGAAGTCTATTTGAATAAAGATTATTTTGACTTTGACTATAACAAATTCACTATCATTCATCTGGTTTTATACAAAGAAATAACTTCAAAATAATACATGCTATAATACAAAACTACATCATATTTCATCATACCTATATCACAGCCAAAATCTAAGTTTATCTCAATTTCACATTCACCCATTAAGACTTCAAAAAAGGGGGAGGTTCTCAATTCGACTGTATTTTTTTCTGTTTGTTACTTCATAACACTTTTCACAGGCTGAACCGATCCTTTTGAGTTCAAACTTAAAAAAGTGAAAAATAATACTTATCACAAAAGCGACTTATTCAAGAAAATGCTATTGAAATCGGGCGCCTATCATTTAATTAATAAGCTACGGAAAACCTCTGCCTGGCTTTGAGCTTGATCGAAATCGGGAGTAGGTCAACTTTACCTTGCAAGATTTGACCCACAGTAACTAACAGAGTAAATTAAATAAAAGCTTAAAGAAGACTCCCAAATTTGGAATTGCAGGTAGATCACGGTAGCTAGTTAAAAGGACAATTGATAAATATGCAAACATTTTGTAGCTGAGGAAATTATGTAGCACTTTGTAATCATAGTAACAATTTGCGAGTAAGTAGAAAACCGTTTTGCACCGCAATTCACCATCGTCTGTCCCTTTCATCTTCTTAAGACCGTCTTTTGGATTTACGCCTCCTTTGGTTTGATATATCCTCTATGCTATTCGTATATGCATTATATGTATTAAGGTTTTCCAAAATAAACTAACATATTTATAATACATTTGTTTATTTGACTTACCAGCAGCAGCTTCTTGTGCTTCCTGTAAATAAAAAATGCGTCTTTCAAATTATGGTTCTCAAAATTATTATTACAATAATATCGTTGCAAAAAGCCAGCAATTCATATAATAATCTCACAATTATCTGGTTATAAAGTCTTACAAAATAAATTATTCTACGAGTATTTACAACAAAAGAGCTAGTCTTCCTAGAATAGTCGAGAAAATTGCTAATGCAGATGTGATTTCAAATAATGGTCTGCAAACACGCAACCAAGAAAACAATCGATGCAATATACATATGTGTCGAAGCTAGATAAAATTTTGAAAAAAGGATAAAAAGATGTGCTTGAAAAAAAAACTAAGTGAAAACCTTAAGAAATCATTTCGGAGACTCAATTTCAATATCTTATTCGAGTCTTATCAGTGACGTAATTGTTAGCATACATCGTGTAAAATGTGAAATTGTCAATGGAAAATAATAGCAAATAAAACTTGCGTAATTGTAAAATTTCCATCGAAAGGCTATGTCATGTCTAATATTATGCAATCTATTAAAATAGTCCTTTAGATATTTCTAGCAGGTACGACCGAAACGATAACTTGAACGATCTATAATTGTCTCGAATCAATCATTTGGTACTCGGCCAAAACGATACATCGCAAAACAAGTGGCCCACAATCGATCAAATAACTTAGCGGCTATCAGATAAATGTGCCATACATAATCTCTCGAACATCAATAAACTTTTACCATAACATTATCGGCATATAAGTCAAATAGAAATAATCTTTCAGATCCCACGCTCTATTTGTGGAAGTGTAAATCACAAATAAAGTTTATTTAGGTACTGACAATTTACTGGTCATAAAATCTCATTGTTGGTATGTGTTTACGTATAGTTTTATAGCTGTGAAGTGTACAATTCGTTCCCTGTATGTTGTGGATACTGTATGAATATTGATTTACGCTCACTAGGGAATATAAATGGTAGATTTTTTATTAAACGTTTTGATGATAAGCATGCAAAAAATATTCGAGAAGAATGAATGCTCTCAAATAGAATCTGTGATCATACATAACCAGCGCTATGTCGAAGAAGCTGAGTATTGCAATCTACAGCATCACTACACTCCTTGTAACACTTACCGCCCTATCCTTTTCCTTACGTTGTTAAATATACATTGATACTTACGAATTTACTTCTGTCTTTCTCTTTTTGTTTTAGTTCAGCCTCTTTCTTAGCTTGCTCAATGAGTTGATCTACAAATTCGGTAGCTTGCCGTAGTTTCTCTGGATCGCTTTTAAAGACGGCGACCCTCTCAGCGAGGGCTAAGGTATCGCTGTCCTGTATCATTGTGAATTTTTACCGATTTAAAGTCTGTCACACTCAAATAACTAGCGAGTTGTAAGAACGAATGGCACCTGCCATAGCTTTGCGATGGGGTCCGGGACCCTTCACTCGTTTTGTGTAGACGGTTGATTAGCGCGGGGGATATTGTCAGTCATTATTTTGAGTGACTAACGTTATGCGAGGCGCGTAACACGACCCACGTCTAACGAAGTACTGACAGACTGGCAAAGCGTCCGGGCTCCGATCATGCGCTGAAGAGTAGGCTTAATATGAGTTACGGTCATAACAAACGAGACGAAAGAGAATTTATCGTACATCACGCGTATATTAGGCTAGGAAAACGCATTGGGTATGTAAACTGTTCCATGTGTATTGAAAGAAGTGATTGAATGTTTTTCAGGTAGATCATAGTGGAGGAATAAAACGGTTCTGGATTAGTACCTTGGTGAGCATTAGTAATCATCATCGTTTTTTTTTTTTAGGAAAAACGATCTCATGATAGTTTCACATGGTATTTTGGATAATGTAAGGCACATGCAGTTTATTTTACATTAAAATAGATTATAGATATTTTTTTCACTATTTTTTATATGCCCAGTAAGCCAATTAGTTATTGAAATAGTTTCAATGGATGACTATATCCATCTATATATTCGAAAATTTAGGGAATATCAACATACATAGGCTTTATTTTATTTTATAAATTCCTTGACTTCTATTTTTTTATTGACCCTTTTATTTCAACATAAGTAAAATTTTAAATGTTCAAGTTTGTATGTGCTTCTTATTATTCTACTTATAATTGATATTAAATAATACATCCTTAAAATGTTGGACAAAGCAAAAATAAGTTTATTCGAATAAAGACATTTTGACTTTGGCTGCATTCATTACTTCATTGACCTTTGAAACCGAATGACCCCTCTTCAACGCTGAGATCCCGGGTTCGATTTCCGGTCGTGGCAACAGAAAATTAATCTAATCAAATCAAATTATTTATTTGCTTATGTTGGTGTAAGTATTATTAAGCTAACGAACTAAACTAATAATGTATTATTAGGTAACAAAGAAATATTAAGTAGATTAATACAATACTTAACTAATGTCTCGGGTTTAAGCATTATGTTAGCTTCGTTAATTCAGATTTTCCTAATACAAATGGTAAAAGACACTCATATGACAGATATTTATCTATTTTTGTATTTCATATGGTATCTAAGCAAGGTATGTATTATGTAATATTTGTTTTGTTTTGTATTAGGTACTTAAATAAATCAAGTACATAAAAGACAAAAGTAAAACCTTTTAGTAAAACATAGAAAGAAAACTGAGTAAAAACAAGAAAACCTCACTTTGTTACTTTCGCCATCTTAGCTAACAACGTGTTTTCAAAGACATGAAAGTTGTTAATTGCTATAAAGTTTTGCTATATATTAGGTATTACAGATAGATAACATATAGTAAGAACGACTTGACGGAATCCAATTAACGTAAACGACGAGAGAAGACGACGTAAAAACAACGTGCTAAAGGGCATAAACATTTAGGTAACTAGGAACAAAACTTGTATCTTTATTAACCGACAATAAACCAAAGGAGGCTATGAGAAGCCTGCACGGAGAATTTAATCGTGTGTGATTCATCGAATAACCAAATAAGGCTTAATATAATATATCTTATAAAAATACTTAGATAAGGTTGTGAAAGATATCAAAAAAGGATCTCAGTCATAATCTCGGTAAGCAGTTTATTGCATTCAATTTCATCTTCTCAGTGTCCACGTTTCTTGTCAGGCGATAAAGGACAAGGCGGAACTGCTGGCTGAGCGCAAGGTGAATCGTCTTCACGTGGCGGTGGTGGTGGTGGCGGGGGACAGGTCGGTCTCCGATCCACGTCTGGAACACACTCGAAATATCTATGCCCGTCCCATGCCCACGGAGTACCAGGAATAGGTAATCCAGGCAGGCAAACCTAAAATTTGAATAAACATTATCATCGGATAGCGGCAAAAAAAATCTTTCACTGTCCTACATAAAGCACACTACAGGCTACCGGTTCTCACAATCATATGAAGCTCAATGCTAAGCATAGGTCTCCTCCGTAGATCTCGCGAACGATCGGACCTGCGCTTTTGTCAGAACCTCTGAGTATTGCCCTGGGCGTCGTAGCAATTTCCAAAACCTTTCAGTCCCAGCGACCATTGGTTCTTCTAGCTATAACTGCCACTTCAGCTAAGTGTGGTCGATTGAATCCAATAACAACATGCCTACACTCTTGCAGGGGGGGGACATGATGATAGGTACGATGATTCTAAGATACCATAACATTTCTCAATTATGATTGAAAACAGCAATAGTTTTCAAGGATATTTTATATGAGATTGAAGACAAACTTTCAAACCGTCAAACACTGCGTCTAATTGTTAAATTTAACGCCTACAAGATTAAATAGGCAATACAGATAGAAATGTAGTTTAACCATTCTTAAGCTACTAAAAGACTGACACTGTTAGTCACTTTGTTATTCTTTAATATGGACTAATTTAAATAATTGTGTGTCTATAATACTCACACTATCAGGACGCACACCGCTGACTTTAGGTTTTACAGTTGGATCTCCTCCTGCAGCCGGACCTTCCGCAATCGGTGCCACTACAGGAGGCTTGACAGAGTCAAAAGCATTCCTTGCATAATAGTATTGGTTAGAATACTTAATGTCTGGGCTTCTGGGTATATCAGGCTGAGGTATACTTCTTGAAGCTACCTTTAGGGGGAATCTCGGATGTAGAGTATGTTTTCTGCCCAATAAAAAATCCCGGAAAATTTGGAGCAAAAGAGATACGTCTCGAAACTCCCATTTAGGATTTTTCGACATATTTTAATCTTGACTTTTACGTTTTAGACGAGTGTCATATATCTGTTTTAAATTGTCTTGTCATAGAATAAGTAAAAAGGAGTGTTTACAACAGTGCTTTCCTATCAATAAAAAAATGTGTTTTGTTCTATTTCGTCTTCTTTTTCTTTTTAACTTTAATTGCTATTTTGCGTCTACCACAATTCTGCCAAGTTCATGTAGGAGACCATTATACGATTTATATATGTTACTGTAAAAGCCCAAAGTATGGTAAATCTTAAGATTTCCCAGTACATCCTAAGATTTACCAGCATGACTTAGTAAAAGTCAGAATTTTATAAAAAACAAACTATATTTGAGGCTTTTAAAACTGTATCATCATTATTATAATTAAAACTATGTAAGGCTTTGACTGATCTGTAATTAAAATAAACAATTAAGAAATAGTCATTATTTTATTTCCATAACCAATATTTACCAACCATTATTAATAAATGTAGCATTTCCCAAACTCTGCTGTTAAAAGTCCGAAATATTGTTTATTTTTATAAAATACGGACATTTACCAACTCATACTGGTAAAACTTAGGAGTTACTGGAAAATATTAATATTTACCGTCCTTCGTGCCTTTACAGTAACATATAAATTCATTCGACTGTCGAACAATGTATGTCAATAAAAGAAGTGTCAACAATGAAAAAAAAATTATTTTAATGAGGAAGAATAAAAAAAAACGAAAGCACTAAAAAGCACCTCCACTAGATGGCGACTCTAGCAAAAGTTGATTTTTGCAGGAAACGAATGGTCCAAAGACAGTAATTTCGGTTCCACTACTAAAAATTCCGTTCCGTATCGTACGAATAAGTACAAATAGAATATGAGTTGTTTATTGAGTTTTGAAAACTAATTTACTTTTAACCATGAAAGAAAACCGGAAAGGTTGTCATGGAGAAATCAAGAACATACTGTGGCGACATCTAGTTAGATTTCGGGAACGATTTTTTTTTTTAAATACTTCCTCATTATAACATAAAAAGTAGACAAACAGCTGAGAGGAAAGGTCATGACTTTTTTGACTCACAAGTATAGGCAAGCATAACGTCCAAGCATAATACCAATAAAAATATTTATATTATCTCGTCCTATAATCTTAGATGTCTATGATATTACTTCAAGTTAAGCAAGATGAGCTAGGTACGTTTGTCTTAAATTGAATTATTTACAGTAAGCCTATGCCTTATATCTTAAAATAAAAATAATAAAACTGAAAAAAATATCTAAACAAATATGATCTGACATATTGATAATAACGAATGGGTTTACTTTTTATGTCAGAACAGAAGAGGCTCTGCGGGTTATACTCTTTGCTTTCCTTTAAATAATAAATAAAAAAAAAACATCTAATAGATATGCATGATGCTAATGATGACATACCAGATATCTCTTTTCTGTACTGTTCCTACTTTATTTTAAAATGAGCAATTTTTTCATAAAATCAATAATTTTAGTGAAGTATGACATATTTTGTTACATTAAATTGTTTCCATACTTACTTACTATTTATAGCTGTATCTAGTACATTTAACATCACGTACCGTTTAACATCAGTAGTGAAAAAGCTGGTTCTTTAAGGCTGGTATGGCTTATAAAAGAAACATTTTTAGTTCTCAATCAAAATCTATGATTTATTGGTATGTGAATTTTCTTTATCATTGTCGTTTGGTGCTATAAATGAAGTGAATTACGCATTTAATAGGTATGTGATGACCAAGATTAAATACTGCTCATAGCATACTAGGTGACCTCACATGTGTTCTAAAATAGCTGTTCTAGTATAAACTTGTGCTACTTGACATTTTCTTTCATTTCTATTTCCCGCGTTTTTTTGACGACTGTCAAAAGTTCATCATTCTGTGTCTTGTTGCTTTTACTGTTGTTTTGTAAGAAAATGATTTAGTCTAAAATAGGTATAAAGTACATCTTACTGCACATTCTGCTGTTTGTTGCACTAATTAACAATGAAAACTAATAACACGCCCGAGACTACCGAAATTACACCTAAAAAAAAACTGAAGCAAGCGCGTCTGCCTTTCAAACTCATCAGTGATGTACCTGTTACACCAGTATCTCCACAAACGAGGAAAAGAAAGCTCTCAGCAGCTGAAACCGAATCGGTTCCTAAAGTAGGAAGGTTGAGTAAAGAAAATGATTTGGTTAAAGATGTTGTTACCATCAGTGATGATGAAGATTCGAATACAAACGAGACTGCTAAAGAAGAAAAGCCACTTAATCCATTCGTTAAATTAGTTGATACGGCATGGAAGAAAAAAATGCAAAAAACGAAGAAAAAAAAACCTGAAAAAAAGAAACAGTCTCTGTCTAAAAGTCTGGAGATGTCTTCAAATGACCAAAAAACAGGTGATGCCCAAAATGAAGTTGAATCAATGGATGTGGATTTAGTTTCTGATCATGATTCAAGTAACATAACTATGGAACCTGACAATAATATAGATAAAAAGGAAATTAGAGAATCACCCAAATCAACAGAGTCAAATAGGAAATCCTCAAGGAGTTCAAAGGCATTAAGACAATCAATAACTTCCAAACCAGTTAATGAAGACAAATTAAAGGATAATAATATTTCTGACTTAATTGTTTTAGAAGATGCAAATAAATTGGAAGCTTATAAAGAAGCTGTTTCAAGTAAATCTTTAGAAATAAATAGTGATAATAAATTGTCAAATAATGAAGATTTAAAGAATTCTGTGGAAATATGTAATGACACCTCACAATCATTAGAAATTGATAAAGAAGTTAAAAATGAAGAAAATATAAAGAATGTTATAACAAGCTCTCCTAAACCTAATGAAGAATCTGAAATAAATAAAATTGAACAAGAAAATGAAATCAATATTGTAACTCCAAAGCGGAGCACCAGAAAAAAAAACAAATTGAATGATTCTGTGAATTCCAATCCATCAACACCAAAAAGTAATAGAAGCTTATCTGTCACTACCAGTTTAGATGATTCTTTGAATGAATCTACGACATCTAATTCTAACTTAACTCCAAAACAAGTAAGTCAATACCTATTAATACCAATATTTATTGTTATAAAATATCTGTTTATAACTTACAAAATTGTTTATGCTCATGTTTATTGTATTACTAAATTCGATTTTAAAATTGAATAAAATTTTATCTTATTTTAAAACTGATAGGCTCAGCTGTTTACTTGATAAACAATATTTCTTGTGGTGTTCAGGTTATAGAAAATAGTAGAAACAATTATCATTTGGTTAACTTTATTCATGAATTAGATAAAGAGACTAATGAATTCTATGTAGTTTATTGAAAAAAATAAGACAGTGCAGATAGATAGTAGACATATAAACTTTATTCAGTGACATATTTATACTACTAAAATATTTGCAGATATTTATATAGAAATAGATATTATTTGATACTAAGTTGGATTTTAAGAACAAATAAAAATTAATGATAATAAAATTGACATTTATTAATCTTTCTATTAAAAAAATAATAAGTAAAACACACCAATAAATAATAATATGTTGCTGTTATACAAACATATGCAGTATATAGCAAATGCAGTTTTTACCAAAAATGTTTGTGGTTGCACATTCATTGTCTAATTATTTTTATTTATGGCATCCCTAGCATGTCGAATGTTCAAGGTCATTATAGTACCCATAATATGTATGAAAAGAGAATTAATATTCAAGAGGCTGTGTTAGTTTAAACTTATGATTTTAATATCCTATAGCACAACTTTAAGAACTCACCCAAACATTCACTGTGGCACTCTCACTTCCCTTGATTGCCTTGCTTTTTGATTAGGTCACAGATGTATCCTATCTGATTGGTCAGTTCTACATGAAGAATCATAACTATGCCAAAGTATAGGAACAAAAAAAAATATGCAAAGATCTTGTTTGCAAACCTGCCGCATTTACCAAAAATTATCAGTGATACCAAATCATTATATTTTGAATTATACCAAAATTACAAATATAAAATACCTAATTAGGATTTTTAAAGATCAAGTTGTTATTTCACATTTTAAATGTATTAGTCCATTAACATAAAATATTCTTAAAGCAGAGTTTAAATCTAAAATTATTTTTTCATGTTTCAGTACCTTATAAAATTTCCTTATTTCAATGTTTGAATTCTATAAACAGTAAATAAACTTTAGTTTTTTTTCTATATAGTTACAGAAAAAACTAGAAGCAGCAAAGAAGAGAGAAGAAAAGGAAAAAGAAAAGCAAGAACGAGAGAAGAAAAAACAGCAAGAAAAAGAAGAGAAAGCCAAACAGAAGCAAGAAAAAGAGGACATGAGAAAGAAAGAACGAGAAGAAAAGGAAGAGCAGAGAAAGAAGGAAAGAGAAGAAAAAGAAGAACAAAAGCGCAAAGAAAAAGAAGAGAAAGATAGACAAAAAGAGCTAGAAAAAAGTATGTATTTAATTTTTTCATTTTAATTGTTTTAAAAGTTTCTATCTTTGTGCCTGCTTGTATTATAGTACATCATCATCATCATAGCAGCCATTCAATGCCCACTGCTGGGTATAGGCCTCCCCATGGGTCTCCACGACGATCGGTTCTGCGCTGCCCGCATCCAACGGTTTCCTGCAACCTTTATTAGATCATTTGTCCATGTGCACTGAATGTTATCTGGTCCCCATTCGAGTTACATTAGTTCTTCTATGGATATCCTCAGGAGACACCAAACATTGATCTCTCCATTGCTCGCTGGGTGACCTTAAGCCTTCTTATGAGATTAATTATATATCTCATTTTTCACTTTACACTTTCCACTTTCGGGACTTATCCAGGTCCATTTTCAGTTTTGTGGCTTCCTAAAGAAGTTTTTAATAAAAGATTCTCCTTCTCCATAAAGTCAGCCAGATCCGGCCTCTGGCTTTCCATTGCCCAACTCTAAATTTCCCCACTTTCAATTCATTACCGCAACGTTTTCCCAACTATATTTTTTATCTGTTCAGTCATTTTGTGACTGGATCTTTTTTTGTGATCTTTACTTTTTTCTACTTGTACGATTTTTCTTACAACAATAATTATAATTTCAACTATCTATACTATATATATATTTATAATATTATAAATGCGAAAGTAACTCTGTCTGTCTGTTACTTAATCACGCCTAAATCACTGAACCAATTTGCATGAAATTTGGTATGGATTTAATACCCATGAAAGGACATAGGCTACTTTTTACCGCGGGAAAATGACGCATTCCCACGGGAAGATAATCTCAATATATATAACTCAAAGGTGACTAACTGACATAGTGATCTATCAACGTCCAGCCCAAACCAATGGACGGATCGGGCTGAAATTTGGCATACAGATAGATGTTATGACGTAGGCACCCGCCAAGAAAGGATTTTGATCGATTCCACCCCCAAGGGGATAAAATAGGGGATGAAATTTTGTATGAACCTTTGTCAATTTATTCATTAGAAATGCTGCTCAAAGTAACTTTACCTCGCGGACGAAGTCGCGGGCAAAAGCTAGTATGATTATAATTCTTAAACGTTACATTTGTATAATATTTTTGTTGATAAAATTCTTGAATGCCTATTCCCAGAACAAAAAGAGGAAAAAGAAGAGCAAAAGCGAAAAGAACGGGAAGAGAAAGAAGAGCAAAGGAGGAAAGAGAAGGAGATGAGAGAAGAAGAAAAGCGTAAGAAACAAGAGGCTCTTGAATTAGAGAAGTTAGAACAAGAATTGAAAAAGAAAAAAGCCGCTGAAGCTTTTGCCAATTTCTTTGTACCAAAACAAAAATCTGATAGAGATCAGCACATATCGGGACCCGTCAGTAAGAGTAGTGTTTTATCAAGTTTCATGATAAAAAATGATATGAGATTAGCTCCTGTTATTCGTGTGGATTTGACAGAGGAGAAAAAACAGCAGTTGGACAATTTGATGGAAGAACAAAATGTATCTGAATCAACATTGTACATTAAAAGTTTGACAGGCGGCTCTACTAAACCTCTTTCTAGTGGGAAAACGTGGCCTTTATCAGAGAGGGATGATGATGTTGTTATTGTTGGTAAGATATTTTGTTTAGTAAATATAGGAAATATTTAATTACGTTAACCACAGCCGGAGGACTAAAAAAAAAACGAAATTATTTTATAATAAATTTAATTATAAATGGAAACTACAAATTAAAATATTACTATAACTTATTAAGATAGTGTCGACCCGATCGATGCAAGAATCGAAGAGACACCCGTCCGAGGTCACGTTGTCGACGTTGAAGGTGGCACGAGGCATGGTGTCAGGAGTTTCCGTCAGTTGCATAAATTGGTGCGATAAATGCGCGTGCTCTGCATTCAGGGCCGTGTGCAATGTTGTTCTTGCAATATACTTACTTGGCGGAACCCCTACTAAATGATCTCGTAACAATTTTAATGTGAAGTTTAATAACTTTCGGACTAACCATTTGCTAAGTATAGCTCTTCCATTCTTCTAAAAGGCATGCGAAAAGTTGGTCTCGGCTGCTTTTGCAGTTGTTGACCCTTTAGCTTATTTTTCATATCTGAATATGGAATGCATAAATATAATCTATGGCCATAGAGAAGGCTTATAATATATGATTATAGTAGATAAATTAATTGTTCATAAGCAGATGATGAAAATTACAACATTTTTACTCAGTTCCATGTGTAATCAATCCAGTTCAATTTACAAGGAAAAAATCCTATTTTTCTTATGTATTCATTTAGTTTCTTATTAAAAAGTTGTCAGTTAACAAAATAGTGGTTGGGAAAAAATTAAGACAGTTCAATCATTCCTAATAAGCATTTTTAAAATAAAAATAGCTTTATAATTCAATTTTTATGTTTATTCGTTAATTTGTTATTTTTGATTTTAATTATACATCTGCCAAAAAAAACGCCTAAAGTTGGATTGTTAGTTAACAGATTAATAGTATTCAAGATTTTGCCACCTCTGAAGTCCTAGTTTCGATTCCCAGTCAAGTCAATGTAAAAAATGGACTTATCTACATTGGCTTGGGTCTGAGTGTTGTGGTACCTTCATGTCTCAGATACTCCATGTATTTAATTGTTGCTTTGCAGAAGATGAATTGCCACCTATAGATGAAGGTGGAGAGATTGTTATGTGTGATGCGGCTATACGAGAGAAATTGAGGCCCAAACTACTAAGTTTTCATGATAATAGACGGCCTCCTTACTGGGGTACTTGGAGGAAGAAGAGTATGACCATAAAGCCAAGGAATCCATTTGGTCAAGACGGGGTATGTTGTTAGATGTCATTGACAATATTTCTTCTTCTTTTTATTGACGTTTCTCTTTTGGATTTTGCCAAAATCAAGTTTTTTTTTTAGTTTATATTTGCCCCTACTAATATGTTCGTCAGATTATATTGGCATCTCACTTGCATACATATCCCCATCCCTCATCCACACATAACTTTTTACTCACAGGAGCGAGACCGCAATTGTTTTAACATTTTAGAAACTCTTTCACATAAAGGAATTTGCATCATATATGGTGAATATAGGCTATATTTTATCCTGAAAACCAGCAAATAAAGGAATGAAAATTTGAGTGAAAAATTGTATAGGGAATTAAAACGTTACCATAGTAACCATTGTTTACTATTCAATTTGTCATTGTAATAGGGATGACGACTAATTTGTATATGTTTGTCTGTCTGTTAAATTATTGGAGAATTTTAAAAACCCTTTTATATCCTTATGAATCGATATACAAATAAACAGTTTCCAGGAGACCACAAGCGAAGTCGCTGCGGAAAGCTAGTATAGTATAAATTTTAATGTTTGATTTTTTGTTATTAATTTTAGAAACAACTTGATTACGAAGTGGACAGCGACGAGGAATGGGAAGAGGAGCAGGAAGGCGAGAGTATAGATGGAAGCGCGGCGGGCAGCGACGACGAGCAAGACGCTGACGAATACGAAGTCGATAACGAGGTCTTCGTACCGCACGGATATCTCAGTGACGAGGTAAATATTATCTTCATCATTGTCTTTATTCACCAGCTCATTAATGTCCCCACTGCTGGGACTCAGACCTTCCCTATGTATGGAATCAAATAGGAAGAAGGGGCCATGATCCACTGGGCCCAGTGCGGATTGGTGGATATCAATAGATGCAGCTGGGATCAACGTCTTGCCTCCAACATGCCAAAGCATGGAGGAGCTCGAGATAATAAGTTTTTAGTCACTTTTCCTATGACCAACCATTGCGAAAGTTGCTTAACAACCGTATCGTAGACCGAGCACGCTAACTACTGCGCCATCGAGCTCCTTACCAGGATATTTTACAACATGCGTGGTTGAGTAGCCCGATTCCAAATTGGCGCCATCTCTGATCCTCTGTTCGATTCCTAGTTGAGTCAAGATGGAAAATGATTCTATAATGTCTCTGGTCTAGATGTTGTGGTACCTTCGTTGTTTTAGATACTTCATAATACAAGGGCTCTACCTTGGAATCTGAGCAATAGGGTAGTTTCGGCATTAGCATTAAGATACTCTGAAATATAAGCAAACATTAATTAGTATATTAGATCAATTTCGCATTCACAACGCTATACTGAAAAATGCTTAAAAAATCCACTTTGTCCCTGGTACTCTGAGACGGGATCCGAACCCATGACTGAATGTACGTTTTGTACATTCAGTCATGGGTCGAAATTATTGCATAAATAATATTTATTGCATTTCAGGAAGCTACAATTGATGATGACGATGTATTGTCGTTATCACCAGAAACACAAAAGGCCAGGTTAAAGCATTTAGAAGACGAATTTGAATCTGAAATGAAAAAACCAACGGAAAAGTTAAAACCTAGACTATACGGAATCCTTTGGGAAACAAAAGAAGGTGGGAAACCAGATCACTGCGTTGACGCTCTATGGAATTACTTCGGGAAATTGTCTATGATTATGAATGATCCAACTCCTTTCCTTCAACCTTCAAATGAACCAGAAGATTTAGAGAAAAAGAAGGTGAAAAAGAAGAAAATACTTAACGATGGTGATAAAGAAAGCCCCAAGAGTGATAAAAAGAAAAAGTCTAAACCTGAAAATAAAGAATCTAAACCTAAACCCGATAAAAAGAATACACCAGAAATCAAAAAGAATCAACTTGGAATTAATTCGTTTTTAACTAAAATTAAGAATAGCGTTGAAAAGGCTTAATAAAACTAAAATTCTTAGCAACAAATTGTAACTTGTTCCATAAAAATTACAAGAAATATTTTACGAATATGAAAAGGAATTTAGTAAAGGAAATTTATGACAGTGAAGTCTCATAAAAAATAACTAGTATTATTTTTACTAAATTTATAAATATTGTGCCAATTTTGTTCTAAGTATATGAACATATTAGTTTTCCGGCACTCGCTCTTGTGGTTTGTGCATTTGCTCTTATGTTGTCTTAAGCAGAATTTACATAACAAAATTTGCGCGAAATTAATTTCACTGCCTAAATTCCACATGTCGTGTCATATGCATATTTTTGATGACAGTGCTTGTGAGGGTTCATTTTTATTTTAAAAATCCATAAAACAAACATTTCGTAATAATAAACAGGTTATCTTGTCTTATAATGAAATCAAACTTTTAACTTTTACACCCGCTTAAACGCTGTCCGCCATATTCATGACGTCATTCCGATATGTACACAAAACAGATGCATAGATGGTCGATTAAAAGATGTTAATAAAACAAAAACAACGCCATCTAGAAATTCGTTTTATAATAAATAGGCATGTGTTAATGACTAATCTGACAACTGTTACCGGAGTGACGTCACAAAATGGCGATAAAAGATAATATCTATGTTTATTTCAATGTTAATTTTAGTGTTTGTGCAATTTCGTGACTTTTTTCACTAAAACTACCTTATTAATTTCACGACACTATTGAAAACGTGTGTGATGAAGTGTCTCAGAGATTCTGTTGATTTCACGCCTTTTGTGCTGATACTAATTTAATCATGTATCACATTAGTTTCGTAATGTAAATTCTGCTTTAGGGTCCAAAGATGTCAGATTTGCACTGGCTCGTATATTAAACCTGATGCAGTGGAAACGTGCCTTATAAAAGTACATTAAACAAACGAGTTTGGATATTATCCAGTTTAATGTAATGAGAATTCGTAAACATTATACCTAATGCTTACGAATTCTCATTCAGCGGTTATAGTATAATATTTGTATTTAAAACTGGATAATATCCACACATTTTCTCCACACCCTCTAATGAGCAGTTTTTAAAATATTGCTAATGGGTAAATTTTGTAATTATAACTGGTTATTCTAAGAGATGTCAATTAAAAGTATTTTATACACATAATATTAAGTGACAAAATATGTTAACAATAATTATAAAAGTCAATGACAATATTATTGGATCGTCAGTTCAGTCTGTATGCACTATTTAAAATATTTATACTTCAGCTACGTAGTGTTAACAATTAATCTTACATTATATGTCGCGAACATTTTGTTATTGTATATGGTAAAACTTGTCTAGCTTAGTTGCTATTAAACAAATTTGTGCTGATAATATTCCTAATTATTTTAAGACTTAAACATGATTTTATTGTAATATGGAATAGTTGTATATGCTTTCCCGGCTAAGATAATTAATATTAAAAATCAATAAATTTATTAATTTTATAGTTTGAATTTTCTTTTCATTGAAGATTTTATTGAATTTTCATTATCTTAATTCGGTGATCTTTCGTTTAATTCTCAAATTATGATTATTAAAAAAAAAATGCCCAATGGGGAGAATTTATGACTGCAATGTATTGAATATTTTAAAAATTCTATACTTATATAGCCAGTCCTTCCCGAGTAGCTCGGCTTAGTGGATAAGAGCCGCGGACCACGATCGTTGTTAAGCAATTTTTGCAAAGGCCTCGGTTAAGCCGTTGGTCCTGGCTGCATTTGCCAGTGTGGAGTCATCATGGTCCGTCCAGCCCCTGAAGTAGGGACTTAAAAAAACTGATGATGACTCGGCATGATGTAACGTTTGCTAATACCATATACCGTTAAGTTTTTGAAAATTTATGGTGGAATATAAACACTCACATATATTTATCCTAAACCAAATACACTCATTATTAGGCAGTCGTGTAATAAAACAAAGTGGTTATATACCCGTCGGCTATAATTTTTTTATAACCTAAAAATACATGGACACGGCATACCTACAATTTAAGCGTGCCATACCTACTCTTCAATCAGAACAATAAATGGCGGCTTGTGCTAGGGCTGCCCTTTCATAAACTGAACTGATATCGATATCGAATCTGTAGGAATTTATATAAACGTAATAATACCACACAGGAATACTATAATTTAAAACTTTACAGTTAAAGGTAAATTAGTTTTTTATTTCCTTTTTGACATTTTTTTCTTTAGTTGATTCACAGTTGGGAAGACTTTTGTTCTGCTGAAATTCGGTCTCTTGACAAATAAATATTAGGTAAAATATACAAAAACAATCAATATATACACTACCACTACTGACTTAGAAAGTTGAAATTTGGAATGAAGATTCCTTTGGGAGTGTAGAAGAGCACTTAGAGAGGATTTTTGAAAATTCCACCCCGAAGGGGCTAAATTAGGGGATGTAAGTTTATACGAGTTCTTTTTAGGAGGTAGGTGTTCAATAAGACGGGATTTTACGAAATTCGACCCCTTTCGGTATTTAAAAAGCGTTTGTTATAGTTCCTCTGAACAGTACTGCAAAAGTTAGAATTTGTTAGAATCAGAGAAAAGCTTCTGGCGTAGTGTAACATTGACATGAAATTATAGTAACATTGACATGAAATTATTTTTGTCAACACTCATGTTATATTTGAGTTTAAGATCAAAGAAGATGGTGAAAGTGTAATCAATCACATACCCACTTTTTAACAGACATTTATAGTTAATCTATAATGGCATATCTGTGGTAATTGAATTTCGACCTTTCAGTTATCTAAATCGAGTTACTAGTCGACTCTTGAAAATGCTGGGCGAACAGAGCCTAGTGAATGTAATGTAGATTTGACGTCATGTTGTATGTGTATTTAGGTAATAATTGCTTTTGTTTTATATGAAACTATTTGTGAAACAAAGTAGTGTATGTAACTACACATATCGCCCCTTAGCTCACAACACCGCATAAGACATTTTTAACAACCATACAGGAGACGAAAAAACAACCTATTTTTAAAGTCAGTGTAAATCGTGAAAATAAGTATAAATAAATATTTCTTAACTGCTAACTGTGATATTTATTGAGTAAAAACAGAAAAATTCTACTATTTGAAATATATGGTTATTTTCGGCTTCTGTAAAGTTGGTACAAATGACTTATGCGGTGATGTAAGCTAAGGGAATATATATAACTTGGAATTAAAACATTTGTAGAATATTATAAAAAAACTCGCATACTCGTTTCTTAAACGCCCATATGTGTTTTCAACTACATACGCTACCATTTTTTTAGTATCTAACTCTTGAATAAAATCATAGTGAAGATGTTTACAATAATGTTCTTAAAAAAAACTGATTTTAGTAAGAGGTAACCTGACAGTTCTCTTTGGAACGCGACAGTGTAACAAATAAAAGCGAAAGGTCACCAATTTACTTTTATATATGCAGATACCAATATCTATTATTTATGATATGAAATATTATTAGTTTCTCGTTCTTTAAATATTATTTTCTCGTTATTACTCATTGTAGTATCACATTACAATGAAGACTTCTGGTAGGACGCCGACAGGCGTGACGGTAAAAGGAAAACAAGTTTAAAAAAAATACTTTCATTTATTCATTTCTGAACAAAACTAATTTGGTTAGGTAATTTCGACATGACACTTTGTTAGTAACTTGTTTAGCGTAGTGACGGTATCTTAAATCAATATAAGTTTTGATAATACATTTAATTAGCAGCAGTCTGTGATCGATGTTGTGTTCTATGTTAAGCGGCAAATATAAAATATTTTCTGTGTTATAAAATTCCGTTAAAAATTTAAATATATATAAATAATAATGTTCTAGTTTCGCCTGACTTGTTAAATGATGTCTTATAAGTTTTTCTGTTTTTTTCAAAATTTCTATAACCCCTGTGGATGCATACTTCAGACCACCTCGAGATTTTTGAAAAATCAAGCTGTTTTTATCTTCCTCTCCAGTTATCAACTCAAAACAAATATTACATTTTATTTCTCGTGACAACTTTCGTACTATAAACCCCGCAATATATTCTAGAACACTTTCCGTGTATTCGTCAAAGCCAATATTAAACATGTTTTCTTGATAGATATCATAGAGATCGCTATGGTCTTCAACAATTTGGGCGAAATCATTTCTCGTCGATAGTTGGTTAATTGCAAGTACTGGATTCTTGCTGGAACATGTCAAAATATTAATTTGTTGTAATGGTATACAATTACCGACTCCACCCTCTCTAATCTCGGCTTTTATCAATAATTTTTTGTATGCGGCACGAAACTGTACAGCGTTGGGGTTATTGTTGAATCCTCCTCTAGCTCTTATAGCAGAGAAGAACAATTCTAAATGGTCTTGGCTAATTTTATATAGAGGAATGTATTTCAAAACTTTGGTATCCTCGACTAAGTGCTCATAGAGTGCCAATGCACTTTTCATTCCAATAATCAGACCTAAAAATCCAATTTTTCGTCTACTTTTTATTAATTTTTCCCCTGTAGGTAATTTTAGGCTGTCAATATAACCTATTGCACTTTCGAATAATGCTCTCACAAAGCCAATGTTTTCAGGGCACATAGCTTTTCTCCAACCCGGAGGACGAATAGAGTGGCTGTTGAGTACGTCGAAAACGTTATTTATTATGTTTATAAAATTAATAGTGCCATCGGATTCTTCAAAGGTTTTCAATTTTAATTTGTTTTTGCAGAATTGTAGTGCATCTGCCACGGAGTTGCTTAGTAGTTGAGTCGCGAGTTTGACCTTCATTTTTTGTTTATCAAATAATATATGTGCTTTACCTAGTTTAGTTCCTAGATGAAGACCTTTTTCTTCTTGTAAATTTAAAAGAAGCTCCATATATTTAAAATCTACATTTCTCCCCATTCCATCGATAAAGATTCTCAATTCACCAAAAGCATTTCTAATTAATTTTATAACATGGCAGGGGTCGATGAAAATATGCACTAGACTTCCATTGCTTCGAAAATAGGTTGACATTTGGTCCTTCAGAACATTGCAGCCTAGAGATGTAAACATACTGAAATTACCAACCAAACCATCGCAGGTTATACTAACAACTTTAACACCAGCGTCTTGACAAAGTTGTAG